TATATCCCCCCAAATGAAAAGGCACAATAGTACACTTCCAGGATGCTCAGCAGCAGAGACAGTGGCCAGAGTAGGGCACACACAACCGCTGACATGTGTCTTGGGCGGCGGCAGCGGTACCAGATGGGCCACAGGACAGACAGGCAGCGCTCGATGCTGATGGTGCTCAGTATGCTCAGGCCTGCAAGGTAGGGAAAGACAATCACAGGGCTTGATATGCTGTAGATGAAATCAAAGTTGCTAATAAGCTGTAAAAGGGAACGTATCATTTGGCCACAGAGGAAGAGGAAGTCAGCCGCGGCCAGGTTGAGGACGTAGGTGGAGAAGGCGTTCCTGCGCATGCAGAAGCCCAGGAGCCAGAGCACAATCCCGTTTCCTGCCAGCCCCACCAGGGCAATGATGAGCATCAGCAGGATTTCTATCAGGTTCTGCACGTCACAGGCTGGAGAAGGGATCCTCAGGGCAGTTTCGTTTATTTGTGTGAGTTCTGTTTTCCATTGTGGGATGGTTGAATCCATGCTTGGAAACCTTCTTCTGTTGGCTCTGGAAACACAAACAAGATTTCAGCACCAGCTCTATGATCTCTGATTCTCACCCTTACCCCACAATCTAAGACAGAAGTGCTGTCTCCATTTCATAGAGAAGGGAACAGAGGCTTGCAAGAATAAGAACTTATGAAAAGGTGGGGAGTCCTCAAATCTGGTTTCAAACCCTGTTCTTGCTGACTCTAAAGCCTGGGCTCTATTACAACAATGTCCTCTACTGACATAGGAACATTTTGTGATAAAACATCTCTACTCCACAGGCTGCAGCTCTTGTCAAATCCTTTCTCTGCCCTAGGCCAGAAATTTTCTGCCAGGTACAAGACTTCAGAAAGTCACAGGGGTGATAGTGACAACCCAAGCTAAGAGTGCACATCTAAGGAGGAGAGTAAGAACAAACATCAGTAATGAGAAAGTGTGAGCTTTAGCTAGGATAGGAGTGAGAATGGCTGGGCCTGGGAGATAGATATGGCTCAGTGTGTCAGCCATTGAAGACTGGAGCACCTTTCACATCTCCACTGGCTAGCTCTGTGTGAGGTACACTGTGTTCTCAATAGACATTTATTCAAGAATAAATGCATTCATGCATGAGAAGCCTAATGGTAGTGGCAGATTTATAAATACAAATGAAAATGAAAACACAAAGCCATTAGAAAAATAAAAATGACACATTAGAAGACACACATATAATCATAATTCTGCTTGTGGACAGCTCTATGTGTGTTAAAAGAATTACTTATGTGTGCCCAAACAACTGAAGTTGATTCCGATAAACCTTTGAAGTAAACACCTAGTATGGCTTTTCTGAGAGCTAGAAGCATTGTGGCACAGGGTGTAGGGGTGGGGCTTTGGCCTAAGCTGAACAGCTCATCAGTATATGAAATCAGAGATCAGATCAGAGATCTCTATGTGTGTTAAAAGAATTACTTATGTGTGCCCAAACAATTGAAGTTGATTCCGATAAGCCTTTGAAGTAAGAATCTAGTATTGCTTTTCTGAGAGCTAGAAGCATTGTGGCACAGGGTGTAGGGGTAGGGCGCTGGCCTAAGCTGAACAGCTTATCAGTATAAAGGAGGAAGGAGAAAGCATTGGTGAGGTCTGAATGCCGCTGAAGAAGGTGTTTGTAGCATGAAAACATCCATGAAGGACTGCTAAGTGATGTGTGACTCACTTAGGCTCCTCATGCATGCATGCATTTATTCTTGAATAAATGTCTATTGAGAACACAGTGTACCTCACACAGAGCTAGCCAGTGGAGATGTGAAAGGTGCTCCAGTCCTCAATGGCTGACACACTGAGCCATATCTATCTCCCAGGCACAGCCATTCTCACAATATGTACCTACTTTATGCCCTCTCCCAGGAGATCTTTGATAGAGTTTCCTTTGCTGATTGAAGCTTTCGTATGAGAGGAGTCCCCGTGGGAAAGTAGAAAAAGTGCAAGGCTTAGAATGTAAAGAGAGATACCCATACCGATTCCAACCGGAGAAAGAGGAATAGGTCCCATCTGGTTGGATAATATCAGCTGATTAAGAGATTATTAGGCATGATATTTTTATTCTCTCTGAAATCTATGAGGTAAAAATTAGTCTTATTCCCATTTCGCAGAGGATGGATAGAAGCACAAAAGGATGCATCATTATCCCTTGCTCTGTCACAATGTGGTTGAACCCAGTTGGGCTGCCTCAGCATCCCCCCTTTTGACCAACCCATCGGACCCAGCACCACTGTGTGCCAAGTATACATAATTGAGGAGGAAAACAGAGACATAATTCTCACATTAACTCCAAATTGGCAGTAAAAATTGAGGGTTGAAAAAAAACTCAACCTAAGCAAACTCTAGAGAGGAAGAGGAGCCAATCACAGACATAAGCAAAGAGAGTTGAGGGGAAGCCAAGTAGGAACAGATGGTGAATCCAGGAACCATTATCTACCTCAAAAGGCAGGCTTCAGTATGGAATTTTGAGGGGTAGAAGGTTCCAAGGGGAAAGGAGATGCATCCTTCTGCTGGAGTGCAGAGAATCATCAGGAGTGAGCACAGCCATCATGAGCTCTCTTAGAAAGATAAGCTCCCACAGCATCAGTTAGCTAGAATGGAAAGCCAGAACCTGTGCTATCCCCACTGAGGGCATCTAACACTTAGTGTGTCTATATTTAGGGTTGCATGTATCTGTCTTTTTCATCCATCCTAAAGCCTCTTAAGTACAAAGTCATGCCTGTTTTGCACCCTACATTTTTCATGTATGCCTTAAAATCCATCTGTTGTAATATCCTCATTTAACTCGAGAAGATGCTGAGGCTTGAAGAACAAAGGATGTTCCTGTTATCACACCAGGAAGAGCAGTCCCAATACCAGCCCCTGGTCTCCTGGAGTCCTGCATAAGACTTTCCCATTGTTATCTAACTCATCATTCGGTATTTCTGAGAATCTTCTTAAAAAAATCTTCATGAGAGCACGGAATTTGAGAGTTAATCACAGGCTGTAGAGACTGTTAATATCCCCCAATCTTTCTTTGTTCTTATGTCACATAACAATTCTGAGAGCATAAGAACTGAGAAAGAATCCCCATTCTGGTCTTCCTCATTCTGGATGATCTCGTATGACTAGGTGTTGGTCAATGGGAGGTGAGCACAAGTGATCTAACCAAGTTCAGGGTCATGGGATTCATAGAAGGAGGACAGCCTCCTCTTCCCCTATCCTCTTCCATCAGGCTGTAATGCTGATGTGGTTGGGAGCTGTGTAGGAGAATGAGGGTAATTGTTTAAGGTTGGGGAGTTGCAAATTTTTAGGTCCTAATGTATCATCCCTGGAGACTCCAGCTCAGTTCTAAAATATAGTCATCTCTGGGTATCTACAGGGCATTGGTGTGGGAATACCAAACAAACCATACCTGCAGAAGCGCAATTTCTTTTTCTAAAATAATGTAGCATTTTGTATATAACCTATGCACTTTCTGCTGTATACTTTAAATCACTTCTAGATTGCTTAATACAATGGGAATGCCATGTAATACCTAATACAGTCTAAATGCTATGTGAATTGTTGTTGTATTGTATTGTTTAGGGAATAATAAAAAGAAAAATGTCTGTGTCTGTTTAGTACTGATACAACTATCCTCCCCTTTTGTGAGAGGAGGGAATGTCTTCAATCTATGGTGGTTGAATCTGCAAATGTGAGGCACACTGATGCAGAAGGCCAGCTGCACATTCTTGTTTAAGATTTTTATTTATGTGATAGAGACCCCAAATTAAAGCAGCCAAACATACACTGTAACAAACAGAATTGTTTTCTCTTTTTAAAATTACATTTCTTTTACTAGGCATGTTTGATAAATGCAGATATTTCTCCATACAAGTGACACTAGAGAAATAAGTTGCAAAGAGAAAAAAGAATAACTCTGATGGAACTTAGATGAGAAATGATTCAATGACATTTAGAAAGAGAAAACCCCAGGGGGTATGAGGAGGGTGGGAGGCATGGACAGTAATTTCCATTAGCCTTGAAGATGTTCTTCCATCCTTCCCCACCCTGTTTGACCTCCCAAGATGGTGGTGTCTCTGTCTCTTACCCGTGGGATCCTATTTCTGGCTGAATTGAGCCACTGGGAGACACCACCAGGAGATTGGGGGACAGGAGGATAGTGATTGGTATTCCCGCCGCCTGGCTCTCTGCTGTGAGGCTGTGTTTGTCACTCATGGCTTCTCCACCTGCCTAGTGATCCCTTTCTCCTGCTACATCTTCAGCTGTGGCTACGCTCTCAATGGTAACTGCTCCTTCCCTCTCCCATTGAGCCTGGATTAGAAGAGTGCTTCCCTATTGCTGCTTTTCCCTTAATTCTGCCCATTGTTTTCAACAGTCCCCACATGAAACACTCTTCAGATATTTCAGATTGAATCATCAGTGTTTTCATTGGACATTTCAGATGTGCCATGAAAAGTTAGTAAAGGAACAAAACCTGTCTTTACTGCAGTTCAGCTCTTTGAAACAGTGCTTGCATGTCCCCTTGTTTCTTAAGTAAATCTAAGAGGCAGCATTCTCTCCACAACAACAGACTGAATAGTTGAAATACAGGGGGTGGTAGGAGGAGATGGATCAGAAGGAAGAAAGGCCTATGTGACCCCATTCGGGACTCCCACAGTCCAGGCTGCCAGCACCTAATTTCTCCTCCTTTTCCTGAAGCAAGTTCATGACCCCCTGCATACAGTACCCCAAGATGGAAATGCAGAATTGAGGAGTTACAGAGAAAAACAAAATTGACTTTGGAAAGAAGACTTCTTGGCATATGCCCTTACCTTTCCTCCATTCTTCTGTCTGCGAGTGGAGAGCTGCCCCGTGCTGCAGGAGGAGGAGAGCCTTCCTCGATTCGGTGATGACTTCAGAGGACAGTTCCAAGTCCCCTGACTCAGGAGGTGCCTACAGGAACTGGAATGAAAGCTGGTGACCAAATCAGGTATTTCAGGATTTTGGCCAGGTGCAGTGGCTTATGCCGGTAATTCCAGAATATTGGGTGGCAGAGGCAAGAGGATTGCCTGAGCCCAGGAGTTCGAGACCAACCTGGGCAACTTGGTGAGTCCTCGTCTCTACCATAAATCAGAAAATTAGCCGGGCATGGTGGTATGCCTGTAGTTCCAGCTACTTGGAGGGCTGAGGCAGCAGGTTAATCACCTGAGCCTTGCAGGTCGTGGCTGTGGCAGCAGTGAGCTTGCCACTGCACTCCAGCTTGGGCAAGAGAGTGAGACTTTGACTCAAGCAAACACACACACACACACACACACACACACACACACACACACACACACGATACTGGGCAGCTCTGTTATTTCCTGTACAAAAACCATAGACACATTAGAGACCAAAATCATTTGAGACATTATCCCTTCCTGAGATGTTTCTTGGCCTCTGTCCCATTTCCACTCTCATATAAAACTCTCCCACCCCACCTAATCTGGTCCACCCCTCTGTTAGTAATTGTTGTTTTCAAGAATTCAATTTCCAGTTATGAGCCTAAGTATCAATGTGAAGCAATATCAACTTGCAACAACAAACTATATTAAAGCATCATTCAAGGCTCATAACTACCCGACCCCCAATTTTTTTTCACTGTTTTTCTTATCATAGTAATCAAGCATTCATATATGACTCCTCATAATAGTGACCAACAGGCAGTTTCTGTACACAAAAACAAGCAGTGAGAATAAATAAGAAAAAACAAACCCCATTTACATCTTCTGAATAGAGAAGAAAAATAAAAATGATTAGAATGCAGTGTAAACCTGAATAAGTGCAACATTATAGAACTGATTTATGTATAAAAATCAGATCAATGAAAAGTTAATATTAGACACAGGTACTTATGGGAACTTAGTATATGATATAGATTACATACCAAAGTAGACCATAAAACATGGACTATTCAATGAATTGAATTAGGACAACTGTGGACTACTAAAATAAAGTAAAGTTGAAAATACACATTACATATAAATTTGATATAGATCTAAATTCATCATCAATATATAGTAGTACTTGGAAAAATTATGATATCAAATTTAGAAGACTTAAAGAAAACATTAAAAAGACAAAAATGATATTTTGACACTGCATGAACCATAATAGTCAAAAGATAACTAAGTATAGAAAATCTTAGTGATGTGTATCATAGTGTTAATTTAGCCTATTTATGAAAAGCTTATGTAAAATGATGATTCAAACTCCAAAAAGCTCATAAGGAAATTACTATAGGTCATGAGTCCCAATTTCTACAAAACAAACATGGTTTTTACACACATGGAAAGACGAGACACGAAGCTCAGAATAAGAAACATTCACGTTACAGGTACACAGAATTATATTTTACTTACCAAAATATCAAAGGCCAAAAGGTTGGATAGCAACAATATGCATCTGACGTGAACCAAGGTACTCTCTTTCTAGTGGAGTGAGATGATTGCAACCTCAAGGAAAGGCAATTTCCAACTTTTATCAGTATATACAAAGTATCATACTGTTATCCCTATAATCCCTCATTTAGAAGTTTATCC